TTATTTTTTTAAATATTTTTATACTTGCTATTAAATACATTAGAGATTAGAAATTTTTTATATTAATATAATGTAAAAGGCAATTCTTATATTAATAGACTTTTAAGGCAATTCTTATATTAATAGACTTTTCTTTTAAATTAATAGGCTTTTCTTTTGTTTATAGGCTTTCCTTATGTTTATAAATTATTCATATGGTAACAGGTTTTTCTTACGTTAATAGGCTTTTCTTATGTTGGCTGAAGATATTTGTTTGTTAGCAACAAATCATCCAGATTACAAGTAATATTATTTCTTTATTTAATATATAGAATGAAAGAGTTTTGCTATATGAAGGATTTATATTTTGCGATATTCAGTTCCCTTTTGTGCGCTTATATCTTTTATACTTTATTTTGTGCTCTTTTTAAATGAAAAATATATATATAGTACAAAAAGGAAAACGTTATACACCTTATTCATCAGTTTTAAATTTGTTATAAACTCAATTAATAATTACTTAACAAATTTTTTTTCTATTAACTTACTAATTTCATCCTAATTTGGCTGCTCCAAAAGTTGATGTATCACATTTGCAGAATGGATATGGAGTTTGGAATGAAAGAAATGTGGTGTGAGTCTTGTACCCTTTAAATAAATAAAAGTTTGACTCAATTGGTTGCCATAGAACATGAACAGCAAAGCAGGGTGTGTCACTTCTTTTAAATTTTTGTCAATTTTCTAAAATAATCTTTAAAAAAGTGGTAAAAAGAATATTACCACAAATATAACCAGTGATCACCTATATAACCAGTTATTAACCACCAATATAACCAGTTAATAACCAGTCTTTAAAGCATACATCTTTATGTTCTAATTAAGTTCTCTCTTTATGCTTTAATTAAATTTGAAATTTATCTATATTTTATATATTATAAAAAAGCACCCGGGTGATCAAACTTGTAAAGATTGTCAAAATATCTTTTAATTCTGCTATGTTCATGGATTTTTCATGAACACAGTGTGCACCACTTAAAACACTTAAGTTAATCAAATATGGTATTCAAAAAAATTGTCATTAAAATTTTTGTTAAAATGCTGCAAGAACAAATTAATTTTTTTTTTTTTTGTGGAAAGGAATCAAAAGCAATAAATTCGTTTTTGTTTATTTTAAATAGATTTATTGTTTATACAATTTTAAAGTTGCTTATTAATTAAATAAACAGTATATTCCTGTTTAGGAGTTGAAAATATAATAAAGATTTTTACATTCTTTCATCTTCTAAGTTTATAAAGAATATCAGACAACTTGAAAGATTGCAAACTATATGAATTAGAAAAACAAGATGAAAGAAGCGAATTCCAAAAACCTGATGTTCGAGGAAAAAAAAAACAGACAAATATGAAAAAAAAATTTTTTAGAGCCTTAGAAACAGTCACAGTAAAAGGATGAGACTTAATTAAATGACGAGTAACACAAGAATAAATTTTAGTAGATGGCACAAGTGTTGCTAGCACTTAAGAGCAGCTCCCATAATAGTATTTATAGAAAAAAGAAAGAGAAGTAACATTACAACCATGTGAAAATACTTAAAGGTTGGTTGCAATAGCAGGTCCAACTATGTTTACAATGCCTTTTTGCACCTTGTCTCAAAGAGAAAGGGCATCATTTAACAGTATTTCATACAAGGACAGATTTGAGATTTATAGAGATAAAGAATGGAGATGAAGAGTAAATGTCTCATTGAGTACATTACCATTCATAAATATAGAGTTAAATAAAAAAAATATTCATAAATATACAGTTTATCAAAAAAATAAGTTTATATTTTTGATAAACTGTAAGACGAGAGTTATTAAGAAAAACACCATGCCAAACTTTGTCAAAGGCTTTACAAATGTTAAGAGCTATAGCCCTAACCTATCCACATTTATCTAATGCACAATAAGACCTATCAGTTTTTACCGTTAACAAATTAGCACTAGAAAAAGAAGAAATCCATATTGATGATCAGAAAGTAAGTTACTAGATTCAAGATGAGAGATTAAGTGTTTGTTAATAATAGACCTTTTTTTTTTTTATATAAACATCTTTGCTTCCAACAAGGCTACAAGCAACCACTAATTAGTGTTGGAAGAGAATGCTATTTTTGTAAAGAATTTGATATATAGTTTCTAAGAAAGATCAGAAGTAAGAGTTTATTCTAGAAGATGAAGGGTAGATGAATCATTGAGTACATTACTGTTCATAAATATAGGAAGGTCTAAATTAATGTGATAACGATTAGCTGAAAAAAATTGAGTTTTATCTGAATTAAAGTTCACCAGCCACTGTGAGCCCCATGCTGTAGCAGAAGTGAGATCCTTTTCAAGCTCAAATTCCCCCTGCAAGCAATCAGAGGGAGTTGGCTTCTTATCGTGACAAGAATAAATGGTAGTATCATCAGCGAACAATGCCACCTTCGATGTGAGAATATCTGGAAGATCTTTAATGTAAATTAAAAAGAGTATAGGGCCAAGAATTGAACCTTGAGGAACCCCTGAGGTTACAGAATAAGAAGAAGAGTGCTGTCCATCACGGACAACTTTTATACTACGATTGGAAAGAAAGGATTCAATAATCTTAAAGATGTTTTCAGATACACTGTAATAAGAAAGCCTATGGAGAAGACCAGCATGCCAAACTTTATCAAACGCTTTAGAAATGTCAAGAGCAATGGCCTTAATCTCTTCACATTTATCTAATGCACAATAAAACCTATCGGTTATAACTGTTAGCAAATCAGCTGTAGAACGAGAAAATCAAAATCCATATTGATGATCAGAAAATAGGTTATGAGATTCAAGATTCAAGATTAAGTGTTTGTTAATTAAAGATTCAAAAACCTTGCTTATGATAGGAAGAAGACTAATGGGACAGTAGTTAGATGAATCGGATCGCTCCCCAGAATTTTTAAAAATAGGAATAACGGATGCTGCTTTTCAGCAGGCTGGAAAACAAGACTCTGATAAGCACTTGTTGAATAGTTTTGAAAGAATAGACGACAGCTCCGGAGAACACTTCTGCAAGACTATAACTGGTATGTTGTCCGGGCCGCAAGCTGTAGAAGAGTCTAAGCAGGAAATCATTTTAGATACAGAAGCTGGAGTGATATGGATGTTGAGCAATGGATCAACCTGTTTGACAGCTATATCAGGTAGAACGCAACTAGTGGAGTCAAGAGATGATATTGATGAAAAGTTCTTAGTAAACAATTCAGCTTTGTTCTTAGGTGAGGTGACAAAATCTGAACCATTAAAAAGAGGTGGAATTACAGACTTGCCCTTATTATTGATACTATTAAAGATTCTCCAGAAGTCACGAGATCCTAACTTTTGTAATGAAACACAAGATTTCATGATCTGAGAATAGCGGGCTTTAGCGTTAGACAAAACCTTTTTGGTTCCTAGCAGTAATAAACAGACGTCTGTTTTCTGGGAAATTGTTTTGCTGATAGATATGGAAGTAATTGTTTCGATTGGCAATTGCAGCAGCACAATGTGAGGAAAACCATGGAGAAGAGTGAGGCTTGACCTGGATTCGTCGAGAGGGAATAAAGGATTCCATGCCAGCCTGAATCTACGAAGTTATGTAAGAAGTACATTTGTCAATAGGAAGACGAAAGATTTCTACCCAGGAGCCATCACGAAGAAAATCACAGAAAGAGTCCCAGTCAGCTTTAAGGTAGTTGTAAGATGTTCAATGATAGGGGGATTCTGATGATAAAGAAGAATGTGATAATAGTTTTAGAAAGACCAAACCATGATCGGAGGCACCTAAGGGTGAGTGTGGAGAAACTGAGCACTGACTATGATTAGAAACGAGACAGAAGTTGAGTAGAGAAGGTAAATGATTCGTGTTATCTGGAAAGCAAGTTGGAAAGTTGACTGTTTGAGTTAGGGATTGAGAATAGCAAAAGTTGTGGGCCTTAATGCCTGCAAAGTCACTGACACTAGAGCCAAACCATTCAGTGTAATGAACATTAAAGTCACCGACAACAACAATATTGGCTGATGGATATAGAGAGAGCTCGGTCAATATGATCAGAAATAACACCAAGAAGAGTGCAGTCTTGAGATGAGGGAGAGCGATATAGAATAAAGAGAATTGTGATAGAGTGAAGTGGTGCTAAACAAAAGCACATAAAAGAGTAGTCTGTGGATTCAAACCTAGTTTCCCGACAAATAGGTGAATTCTTACGAATGTAAATGCCCATGTGACTATTGGAGTCTTTTTGAATTAAAGGAAGATAACCATCAACACTATGATCACAAGATGAGACAGCTGAACTCAAATTAGTCTCACAAAGAGCAATTAGGTCTGGTGAACTTTGCAAGAGATAAGACTCAACAGAAGAAAAGTTACTTCGAAGACCACGAATATTAGTGAATGATAGGTTTAGCGAACTTGGTGATGACTGTGGTTTTTTGTGTTTTATAGTTTTTGTTACTTTATTCATTTTTAAATTTGTTAAAGAATTTGACTCGAAATATAGATAGTACTCAGCACACTGTTTAATAGCCCAAGCAATTACTATTAATAAACCCTAAGCCATAACAAAGGGCTCCAATGTGGCCTTGGCAATGCACCCCAAAAGTATTAACAGGGGTACCATCCATGCGCAATATGGCACTGTTAATACTTTGATATTTTTCAGTTGTTAATGAAGTCAGCCTCTCTGAGAGCTACCTCAGAGTTTAGGTATGTTGTTCGGACCACAAGCTGTAGATTAGAACAATTAATAATGATCAAAAACATGTCATGTACTCTGAATTACTTTTGTTTTAAAAAAGTATATACCGCAAAAAAAAAAAATCTTTGCGTTTTTACTGAATTTAAATTTAAAGTTTTTTTTTTTTAATTTCAGTAATTCAATTTCTTAAAATTCTTTTTAGGGATAATTTAGGTATAAAAGCAGAAGATATTAAAGGTTTTAAAGTACCTGAGTTTCTTTTAAAAAAGATGCGACAAGCCATGAGAAGTATTATTCATTTTTAATTTTATTACAATTATAAACCATTGATTGTGATTGGTTCATATTTGTTTACGTTACAACTATCAAACTTATTATTAAATTTTTATTTGTAAATATGCAATTATAATGTTATCATTATGAATTGAAAATTAAATAAAACAATACTGTTAATAGTTAAACATTTTAATTTAGTTCTAATTAAAATTTTATAAAATAATATAATATAAAAAATGTTTTTACTTCATTGATGAATCACTTTTAACTTATGAGATCAATTTTATCTGAATAATTGTCCATGCGTTTCTTTAAAAAATACTTGTACCAGTCAAGAATTTAAAAAAATACTTGATAAGTACCGGATAAGAACTTTAACAATTTAGGTTATGATGTTATCAACATTTTCTTGTTAAATAAAGTTATAAATATAGTAAAAACAAATATTAAAATATGTGTAAAAGAAAATAAAAAGTGTATGAAAATTGAACTGTAAAAGCAAGTTAGACAAAAATTTTAATATTGTATTGTATATAAATTTGCAACACGATACAAATAATTTACAATAGATCAGGCCTGCGCCACTTAACATTGGGCCTGTATATACCATTTAAATAAATGGTAATAACTGTTATGTGTCATGTTTTACCTTTTTACACTATCATAATATCTTATGGTAATAAAATAGTTTAATCGTTGAACGTAAAATATATTATATGATATTACAATTATAAAGAAAAAAAAAATTGTAACTTAATTTTTGGCATTTTCTAAAATTCATTATTGAAATTTTGGCCTTTGTGTTTTATGTGCATGGCAAACTAGAGTTAGAGTTTTTTGTACAGGTTTTTAATGATTTATGTATAATATTTATCTGTTCTATGTATTAGGAGATTACTGACATTATAGGCAAGTGGAATTGTTAGCTAGATAATTGCATCTGGTGGAGGGTGAAATTTAAAAGAATACTGGCAGTTTAAGTTCGAGGCTACTGGACTTGTAAAGAAATATTTCTTTTTATTTCAATATTTACCTGGTACAAAATTCTAAGTTGCGAGTCCTTATTTTCCAATATGCATAAACTGATTATGTTGATAATTTAGCTGTAATGGGTGACAACTAAAAAACAAGACTGGATTTAAAGTCATATCTCTTTAAAGAAATAAGATAAAACAAAAAAGAAAAATGTTCTAGAAAGTATTTTTATTCTAGTTTTTAAATATATAATCAGTTGTTCTCAATTAACCATTTCTTCTGACTTTATCAACTAGGCCTGGTATAGACTGAGCTAGTCTCCGTATGAGCTCAATATAAATTTTATTAAGGCAATACTTGATTCTAGAACGAAATTTTTTAAGATTTTCTGCATGCCAATTATTCTTGTAGACTAGGTTTTTCAAAATACTCCAAATATTTTTTATAGGGCAACATTCTGGCAAGTTTGCAGGGTTATACGCTTTCTCAACATAATGCACGTTTTCCTTGTTTAGGTACATAATTACTGTTTTTGCATAGTGAGATGATGCTAAATCTTGCCAGAATACATATGCACCATCTGAATGATACCTATTGATGAATGGAATAAGTCTCTTCTTAATACATTTGTTTAAATAGATTTTTTGGTTTACAGCCAGTCCACTTGGTACAAAATAAGGTTGAGAAATTCCATTTTTAGAAAAAGCAATCCATAGAAGTAATTTCTTTTGAAATTTTTGTTTTGTTTGGTACTTAACTGTAGATGGAGTAGATTTTACATCACTAGTATAAAATATATCATTTTCATTGATACTGGAGTGATTTAACGTGAAATAAGACTCATCATCAATGATTGGTTTACGATTTTTGAATTTCTGACACAATCGACTGCACTTAGTTCTAGCTACTGCTTTATGCTGGTCAGAGCGTTTTGGAATCATCATTTTTTTCTTGATTTAATATTTGTTCTTTTTTTTAATGTTTTACTAATGTGTTTCTGAGTACATTTGAACTTTTTAGCTGCCTGTCGTTGAGAAACTCCGTCTTTATGGTCAAACATGAGTTTGATCCTTTCAATGTTTGTCCTGGTTATTTTTTTAGCTTTTACTCCACTTCTTTGAATTCTTTGGTACCCAGATTCACTTTCAGCATGTTTAATTATCTTGTAGATAGTACTTTTAAGTATATTATCAACTTTAAAGTGATCATAAGTGAACTTTTTACCAGCATTTTTGTAATTTAAATAAAATTCATACACACGTTTTCTAATTTCTTCTTGTTTTGAATTTATTTGTTTATTTATTTTTCTATAAAAAAATAAAAACACATAAAATATTTAAAAACTAGAATAAAAAAACCTCCTAAAACAGTTTTCCTATTTTTAAATCTTATTCCTTTAAGGAGATATGTGTCTTTAAATCCAGTCTTGTTTTTTAGTTGTCACCCGTTATGAAATCACCACACGCTGATTTTCTAGCCAAATAGCTAACAAATTTTTTTATTTTAAATGATTTAGTTGCTTAATCATTTTATGGTCCAATGTTGAATTATTTTAAGTTCATTTGTCTCCTTTGCAATAAAGAGATCATGCTGGTATAGTAAATTTCAATATTCATTTTAAAAGTAATGTATGGGATGCACAAAAAAAGTTATAATTTTATTTAGAGATGTTTTTTATTTTGCTTGTACTGTGTTTTGTTACTATCATGTAACATCATCACTTAACTTTTGTTACCATCATGTATCATCATCACTTAAAAATTGTTTGGTGCTAGAACAGGTTTCATTTTAATAATGTGGTTTTTAAGCTGTTTGCAAGAGCTATATATACCATGGTGTATATCTAATATAATATATTTTCAAGTCCTATATGTATAACCTTGCACTTTTCAATGTATGTACAACCTTGCACTTTTAATGTTGAAAATTAAAAGCCAGTCATAAAACCAGTATGCAGTTGTGTAATTGTTTTTGACAATTTGAGTATCTTTCTGCCTTGACTTGATTATGTCTAAGGTCTTTCTGTCATCCAAATACATCTTTATGCTTTTCCATTTCCAAAGTCAGGTTGGTCAGTCATGCAGAGTACAAAGAGAGTACAAAGTGGTTAAAATCATTCTTCATGCTAATAATGTATTACCATGGTGATAGTGTATTGCCAATTTTGATACTAGTTCTTTTATCCAATAATTTTTTTATTCAGTTGTGAAGCTGATTCACAATACCATTAAGTAAACAATAAATGTATTTATTGTAATATTAGGTAATTCGCCAAAAAAAAATGCCCCATCACTTGGAGTGCTAGAAGGTGCACTTTAGAGCCTAAATTATAAAAGGCAAAAACTTTTATGATAAAAATTTTTTTTTTCAAAAAATATGCTTTTCATATATCGTTAGAAAGATAATTTAATGCTGATTTATATTCGTATAAGAAATATAGGTTAAATTTTTTTTTAAGAGTATATGATTAATTATGTCTATGAGAATTATATGATAATATGATTAATTATGTCTATTTTAGAGAATATGATTATGTCTATTTATTATTAAAAACACGGAAAATAACAAAAATTACTGAAATTCTTAAGTTTTCATTGTTTTCTATTTAGTATGTACTTTTGACAACAATAGACTGCATCTACTGCGATAAGATTTATTTTTTTTTAACATCTTCGCTTCCAACAAGGCTGCAAGCAACCACCAATTAGTGTTGGAAGTTACTGGAAGAGAAAAGATGAAGATTGAAGGGCAAGATAACAATTGACAGGCGACTTAAAAGATTGCAAATTATATGAATCAGGAAAGCAAGATGAAGGAAGCGAATTCCAAAGAACTGATGTTCAAGGAAAAAAACTATACAAATAAGAGTTTTTGGAGCACTTTGGAACAGTAACAGAAAAAGGATGAGACTTAATTATATGACGAGTAACACGAGAATGAATTTTAGTAGATGGCACAAGAGATGCTAGCTCTTTAGAGTAGTGCCCAATATAGTATTTATAGAAAAGAGAAGCAACATTACAACGATGTGACAGAGGGTGAAGGTTGGCTGCAAGAGCAGGTCCAACTATGTTTACAATGCGTTTTTGCACCTTGTCTAAAGGAGAAAGGGCATCATTAGAAGATCCGCCCCAGATATGGCAACAGTATTCCATACAAGGTCGGATTTGAGTTTTATAGAGATAGAGAATAGAATCCAGAGTAACAAAAAGTGTCGAGCTTGATAAAGAGATGCAACTTTAGCAGATGCTAATTTTGCAATGGATTTGATATAAGGTTTCCAAGAAAGATCAGAAGTGAGAGTTAATCCTAGAAGATGAAGGGTAGATGACTCATCGAGTACATTACCGTTCATAAATATAGGAAGGTCTAAATTATTGTGATAATCAGAGTTTAATTCAGAGTTTTATCTGAATTAAAGTTCACCAGCCACTGTGAGCCCCATGCTGTAGCAGAAGCGAGATCCTTTTCAAGCTCAAATGCCCCCTGCAAGCAATCAGAAGGAGTTCTGATTGCTTGCAGGGGGCATTGGCTTCTTATTGTGACAAGAATAAATGGTAGTATCATCAGCGAACAATACCACCTTAGATGTGAGAATATCTGGAAGATCTTTAATGTAAATTAAAAAGAGTATAGGGCCAAGAATTGAACCTTGAGGAACCCCTGAGGTTACAGATTAAGAAGAAGAGTGCTGTCCATCAAGGACAACTTTTATACTACGATTAGAAAGAAAGGATTCAATAATCTTAAAGATGTTTTCAGATACACCGTAAGAAGAAAGCCTATGGAGAAGACCAGCATGCCAAACTTTATCAAACGCTTTAGAAATGTCAAAAGCAATGGCCTTAATCTCTTCACATTTATCTAATGCACAATAAAACCTATCGGTTATTACTGTTAGCAAATCAGCTGTAGAACGAGAAAATCAAAATCCATATTGATGATCAGAAAATAGGTTATGAGATTCAAGATTCAAGATTAAATATTTGTTAATTAAAGATTCAAAAACCTTGCTTATGATAGGAAGAATAGGAAGA